CGAAGATGGCACGTCTTTGTCTCATGTACTTTGGTCGTGTCATCAGGAGTGACAAGAACCTGAAAAAAGCCATCATATTGGATAAACTAGAATGTCAGCAAACAAAGGGAAGGCCTGCTTGGTTATGTTTTGGGCTCCGGCCAAGGGTGGTTGGCAGTTTGAAAACCTCAGCCGCTCTGCAGGAGAAAGACTGGGCTTTCTACTCTCCTAAACAGCGACAGTCTTGGAAACCCATGGCAGTGAGTTTGTTTTTCAACGAGATGGATTGACACAAGGCAGCAGCCATGGGCTCAAACATAGGAACAATTGTAAGGATGCCATACATCAGATCAGTATGAGTCAAAATAGACTTGGCAACACCTAATAACAATAATACGTAATAAATAAATAAAAATCTTGTAAAAGAACGGAGAACATGATCAAGGTGTCTAGTACATATACCACTAGAAACATCAACAATCATAGGCAATATCTATGTGTATATTTTTAAAAATCGTTAAAGACTATAAAATGAGATTTCAATAGACACATTATGTAGTAGTAAATGAGAAAATTTTATACAGCATAGAAATATCATTTCTAGCAAATTTTATTATACTTAATGCACTACCAAATTTTCAATCAGGTTGTCTCTCTCTTATTAATGAAGGGATTGTGATGTTCTGTCCTGCGGGGGAACACCAGGTACTGCAGAGAACTCCAGGTTGCCATCCATAGGGGAACTAGCAAGTTCTGCCTGTTTAATTTGTAAGGAGCCAAGTTCACACACTCACATGCACACGATAGAAAAGATAAAGGTTGTTTCATCATAGGGATACTTCCAAAGAATGAAGTGGTCCGCCTTGTGAGGTGCGAAGGAAGCTGAGCCAGGGAAAAACATCTCCGTTTTAGAGGACACTTTCAAAGGAGATGGGGGATTGCAGCTCCATACAAGTTGCTTTCTTAGTTATTAAATTCATCCTTGAGCCTCTTACATGTTTTTTTTTTAACATGTTTCTTTTGAATGTATCCTAATTTTGTGCCAGGATATCTTGAATCTTATCTCAGGGTATAAAATTTGGGTGAAATGTCTCAGGATGCCCACCCAGCCTGATCTCAATGTTGAGACTTTTACCAGGCTTGGTACTTCCGGGTCCTTTGTTTATTTTCCTAGCCAGCAGAATGTTTACTCCTTAACAAACAGCATGTTCATTTCTTGCAAGCAGACGGTCCATATCCTTAGCAAACAGAAAATTCATTCTTAGTAGGTAGAGTGTCCATTCCCTTGGCACGCAGAAGTCCCTGTCTGGAACCTGTCAGGGATAAGAAATCCGAAAAATATAATTTGAAGATTAACACAGAAAAAAAAAGTTAAAAGCTAGGGAAAAAGTTTTGAGAAAAAGAAACACAAAAGGAAAGCTTTCCCTACTGAATCAGAAGGATGCTCTCGGGATGATGTTCAAAGTCGATGGTTCTGCCTATGAACAGACACAGATTAGTCAACACTACCTAAACGGTCCAGACATAGACTCCCGCATACAGGAACTTAATATATGATGAACGTGGTTTTCAACTGAGTGGAAAACTATGGTATTTAAATGGTGCTATCACAATTGCTCCATAAGGAGTCCCTAAGCGGTGCAGTTAACACCTTCAGCTTCTAATGAGAAAGTCTGCTGTTCAAATCATCCAGAAGTACCTTGGAAGAAAAGCCACCTGGCAATCGACTTCCAGAACATCAGCCGCTGAAAACCCCACGGAGCACTGACGTACATGGGGTTGCCCCAAAGCAGCATCAGCTTGATGCCAACTGGTTTTTATCAGAGCGCCTATATATAAGGGGGAAATTAAATTGAATCTATATGTCATAGCATTTACAAAGTCATACCATTTGCAAAGATAATTCGAGATAAAGTAAAGATTTATATGTTTTTTAAAAATTAAAAGAGAACTTAGGAGAGCAATGAATTGTAGGGAATTGAGACTTTTAATTTTTTTAAAATGTTGTTTGGGTGATTAGGGTGAAGGTTTACAGGGCAGATCATCTGTTTTCCATTCAACAATTTATACACATTTTGTTTCACCTCATCATCTATTTCAATATCCTCAATGTCCCATTGCTTATTCTGCTTCTTCTCAGTGTTTTTTGTTTTAGTCCTCCTCCTTTCCTAGTCTTCTGCCCTTGGGAAATGGCAGCCTTTTTATCTTAAATGGTTGATGACTGTAACTTGGGGCTAAGTTCTGTTCCACAACTGAGAGGTCATAGGCCGGAAGGGTTCCACCATCCTTGACTCACCCAGTAAGCCTGGGGCAGGTTTTCATAAAACAAAAAGTAAAACCAATAAGTTATCTAGGAAAAAAAACAGACATAGTTGATCATGTAATTCTTTTAATGATAGAATGATAAAATACACGATAGTCAAAGGCAAATAAATGATAGATTGGGAAAAATAAATGCAGCCCAAGTAAGATAATGGATGGATATAATATACAAATAACTTCTTTGATAATAAGGAAAAGACAAATAATTCAGGGGAAAAAGTAGGCTGTTCACAGAAGAAAAAGTTTAAATGGATGATGAACACGTAGTCAGGGAAATGCAAATTAAAGTAATGAGATTTCACTCCTTTCCCCTTCGGTAGGCAAAAAAAACAAAAACAATAGTGAGAATATCCAACTTCTATCTGGGAACGAGTTGGAGGAGAACACACCTAGGAATTGTTGCTGCCAGGAGAGATGTTTGATGTTCGTAACTGGATGGACCTAGCGCCAGCTGGTTAGCACCTAGGTGCAGGCCCTGAGCAGATCTCCAAGCATATACCATGCCACGTACACCCTCTTACGTCTCTGGATGACTCGATGGATTGACGATGGGTCCTGGGAGCAGTATTAGTATGGTCAAAGCAATTGGAGGGCAACTCGAGGGGGCTCTGGGCTCTGGACCATGATTTCATGCCACTATCTGGAAGCATTTAATATTTGACAGCTGGTACCACTGCCCAGGTGTGCCCCAAGCGAATGAGCCTTTGTGATAAGCAGGAGGCCACTACCTATTCAAATCGAGCATTTACATGCTTTTTAGCTCAGCAACCTCTTCTCTAGTAACCAAATTAGTAGAAATAAAAACACTAATATGTAAAGGTACATGTACAAGGATGGCAATTACTTGTGGAGAGGAAAAGAACTGAATCTGAAAACCATCTGAAATCCCATCAATCCACAATCCTATCAAAAGTCTCATCAAAGAAATTGAGAGTTTTACTACCAATTGTCTCAAAATGTTTTCAACCTCTACCCATTACCTAACTCCAAAGTCACTTTCAAAGCCACTTTCATAAAATGAGTGGCTTATAAAAACAGAAATGTATTATCTCACAGTTTTGGAAGATGTTGTTTTTGTTAGCTGCCTTTGATTTGGTTCTGACTCATAGCGAACCTATGTACAATGGGACACGTCACTGCCCAGTCTTGCACCATCCTCCCAATTGTACTTATGATTGAACCCATTTTTGCAGCCACTGTATCAATCTCATTGGGAGCCTACCTCTTTTTCAATATTCCTACGTTACAAAGCATGATGTTCTTCTCTGGGTACTGGTCTTTCCTGATAACATGTCTGAAGTATGTGAGATGAAGTCTCACCATCCTTGCCTCTAAAGATCATTCTGGCTGTACTTCTTCCAAGACAGATTTGTTTGTTCTTTTGATGGGCCATGATACTTTCAATATGTTTTGCCAGCACCATAAGTCAAATTCATTGATTCTTCTTGGGTCCTCCTTATTCAGTGTAGTTTCATTATTCATAGTAGTTAGGAGCTAGGCTGTTAACCACAACGTTGGCAGTTCAAAATCAACAGCCAATCCCTGGAAGAAAGACAAGGCATTCTACTCCTGTAAAGAGTTATAGTCTTGGAAACCCACAGGGTAGTTCTACCCTGTCCTATGGGGTCACTGTAAGTTGGAATCAATTTTATGGCAGTGAGTTTTGGAAGGTAGGAGCCCAAATCATTGTGTCAGTCAAGCTGGTTCTATCTGAGGGAGAATGTATTCCAAGCCTTCCTCCTCACTTCTAGTAACAATCAGGGATCCTTGGCATTCCACAAAAGTTGTTACCACTTCCATCTTCTCATGGAAATCTGCCCTCTGTGTGTTTATTTTACACTGTACTCGCTAATAATATCTTCTAAGATTATATTCATAAGCAAGGTCATGTTCACAGTACCAAGAGTTAGGACTTGAACATACCTTTTGGGGGGACACAATCCCATAACAGAGTGCAAGAAGCAGCAGCCAGGGAAGTGGGAGGAAAATTAGAAGGGAGCAGGCAACATAGTAGAAGCCAAAGGAACAGTAGAGAAGATAGGAGTTCCTTCTTATCTCAGAATGTGGAAGATCACATAAACACATCTTGGGTTATCCAAGGTCACACAGATAATGAATGAGGGAGCTGATATCTCAGCCCTCTGCCTGCCTTTACCCTCCTCTCATAATTGGAAAGTCATCATTCAATAGATTTTTGATTCTTGTGGAATTTCCTGAGGGTCCAAGATTTCCAACAGCCATAGAAACCAAAGCCAAACTCATTGCCATCAAGTCGATCCTGACTCCTAGCGACCCTATAGGCCAGAGTAGACCCACCCTGTGGGTTTCCAAGACTGTACACTTTTACAGGAATGGAAAACTCCATCTTTCTCTTTCCGAGGAGCTGGTGTTTTTGAACTTCTGATCTTGTGGTTAGCAGCCCAACTCTGCCACCAGGCCTCCAACCAATACCTATACTCACTGCCTGCAAGGCAGTGGTGACCCAAAGCCATCTCAAAGGACAGAGTAGAACTGCCCCTATGTGTTTCTCAGAGTAATCGTTACTGGAGTAGACAGTCTCAACTTTCTCCCACGTAGTGGCTGGTGGTTTGAACTACTGACCTTGCAGTTAGCAGCCCAACTCATAACCACTGCACCACCAGGGCACCCTTTGTGTAGACTAAAATATTGCACTGTATTTTCTTTCTCTAATGTATCAGCTCAACCAAGTTCCAGGAGATGAAAACCCCATTTTTCTTCCTTCGGATGCAAAATACGACTGGCTTCTGGCCAAAATCTGGGTGCGCTCCAGTGACTTCCATGTCCACCAGACCATCACTCACCTTCTGCGTACACATCTGGTATCTGAGGTTTTCGGCATTGCCATGTACCGCCAGCTGCCTGCTGTGCACCCTATCTTTAAGGTACAGCAAGTACTATTTTACCTAATAGGGATGTTATCCTGGTACCTGGGGATGGGGTGGAGGACTTGAGAGAGACCCCTGAGAGTTTCCTTCTCCTCATCTGGAACCACCTGAGGAAGATAACAGCTCCAACCCAAGCAAATTGTGAAAAGGCACACAAATTCATTGTCACCATCTACTCAACCCAAGTGGTGACCTCCACTGACTTTGCTCTTCTTCCCTTACCCCATCTTTCCACAGTGGACCAGGGAGGGTGGGTTCTGAGGGTCCATGGGGGCCTCTCATTAGGAGGCCTTAGCTGAACCCTCTGAGGGGTTTCTTTCCACCAGCTCCTGGTAGCCCATGTGCGGTTTACAATTGCCATCAACACCAAGGCCCGTGAGCAGCTCATCTGTGAGTACGGTCTCTTTGACAAGGTAGGTGTCCCATGACCAACATCCTAGAAAGCCCTGCCTAGCTGGCGCACTCTCCACCCTAGAATTATGTGGCCTTAATTCATTATCAGGAGACAAGGCACATAGTCTCCACTATGGTGGAGGTCTGGAAAGAATAGAGGATGGAGGTTGTCCTCAGCTCTGTGGCCATCTCTAAGAGCCCTTGGCACTAAACAAGCTCTCCTCTTCCAAGTTCATGGTATGGTTCTCATTCCGGATTCTCTGACCTTTCCCTCCTCTCATGGCCTGTTGAGCTCTTATGAATGGGACCCCTTCCACTTGGCTCCACTGTCTAGACTTGTCCCACATCTTGAGCAACAAGCCGGACTGAGTATGTCCTAAACGTGCCCTGCATACTGAGCACAAACCTCCACCACCTGTCCTTCCCAGGCCTTCTATGCTTCCATCACTCACCCTGCTCAGCAGGCATCAGATCCCTCCTCGCCTTCAAATCCTCTCAGTACACCCTGATTTGAATCGCCAGCCACCTTACCAGGCCTGGACCCTCATATCAGCTCTTGACCTTGAGACTCTCCTCTCCCAAATCAATTATCAATTAGTGGACCAGTACAGATAGTCACTATAGTTAAGCCATATATATGTGTGTGTGTGTGTGTGCAGGTGACAAAATCCAATTCAAAGCAGCTAAAGTTAGAAAATACATACAGTATTCTCATATATTTAGAAATGATTGAGCTGTAGGGAGATTCAGACCAAAGTGATTCCATGCACTCAAATACTGGCCTCATTTGTCCCAGCTGTATACAGGCTTCCCCAAGGGGCTTCGGAGGTAGGGCCTTTATCACAGAGGTTACCCTTTTCTACCTGCCTCTCAAGGAGTACCCAACAAAATACTAAGGAACAACTTCAACAGATCCAATTTGAATCACATGACCACCATGGATAGCACCCAAGTCCTTCCCTAAAAATTTAATTGACTGCCTGCTCAACGTGTGCGTGCGTGTGTGTGTGTGTGTGTGTGTGTGTGTGTGTGTGTTTGAAGAATGACCCAGATTCCTCTGTATCTTCTCAGTCCTCCCTTAAGCATACCATCACAAGATCTCAACAGCGTTTATGGTCTGTGAAGCATGCCTTGGTACTCTCCTTTAGCCCAGTGGGTCACCCTTGTGCCTCAGACCAAAACAGGCCTGAAGGCCTTACCAACCAGGCCTAACCAGTTCTGGAGTCCCACAACCTGTAGTGCTCAAAGTGGGAGTTCACCTCTCCTGTAACTGCATCCCAGTCTCTGCACACATCTGCACACATCTGGCCACGTCAACACTCTCCATCACCTTGGTCTAAAGCTGCCTCCCTGAAACGCCTTCCCCTGACTGCCTTGGCATCTCAGTCACCCTGAAGTTTCACTAAGCTAAACTTTCTTCCTGTCTCGTCTTCTTATCCCCTCTTTCCTGCCACTACAGTCTCAGCTACTCCACTACCCTGTACAATTTCTCCATGTTCTCGTGGGTCTGGGAGTCAGCTGTGGACTGGAAATGGGGGATAGCCTCAGCTTATGGTGCATTCTCCCTCCATTCAAGGCCAACGCCACAGGGGGCGGTGGGCACGTGCAGATGGTACAGCGGGCCATGCAGGAGCTGACCTACACCTCCCTCTGCTTCCCTGAGGCCATCAAGGCCCGGGGCATGGACAGCACAGAGGATATTCCCTACTACTTCTACCGGGATGATGGCTTGCTGGTGTGGGAAGCAATCAAGAAGTGAGTGAGAGCCAGAATGGGGGAGGTGGGGGCAGGGAGGAGGGAGAGAGGATACTCTAGCATAAGCTCAGAGGTGATTGGAAGAAGGGCTGATATGGGCAAGGGGATGTGTTCAGGCCAGGTGCTTCAGTGACCACAGCAGGGGCACCTACTTCTGTTAACAGTACTAATAGAGGAGTGGAAGTTTTGATGGGGCAGGGGAAGTCCAATTTTGGACCTAGTTTTGGGTCCTGCCCTGACTCCCAGGGGACACAGCTTTGTCCTGGCTGACACCTTACTCTTAAATTAGGTTCACGGCTGAGGTGGTGGGCATCTACTATGAGAGCGACCAAGTGGTGGAGGAGGATCAGGAGCTTCAGGACTTTGTGAAGGATGTTTATGTGTATGGCATACGGGGCAACAAGGCCTCGGGTAAGGACCACATCCAGTTATCTTCTCTCTTCTGTTTTTTTCTGATCCTGACCCTTCTTGGACAAAGTTGGCCTTGATTCTTGGTGATAGGGCCTGAGTCTCCAGAGGTCCTCTGTCCACCAATGTGCCTCATGGGGTTTGCCCAGGGTGCACAGCTTCCAGCAGCCCCTGAGAACGAGATCGGATCAAAGGCCAAAAGTTTGGAAAACTAGCCTAGATCTCTGTCCCCTCCCATCAGTGTCTGCTTCCAAAATTTCTCACCCATTCCTGAACCCTCAGTGCCAAGGGCCCACTCCCAGAAGAAGTGTGTTGTCATGCCCCCAGCTGGTCTGTTTCCTGCCTCAGGCTTCCCCAAGTCCATCAAGACCAGGGAGAAGCTGTCCGAGTACCTGACAGTGGTGATCTTCACTGCTTCAGCCCAGCACGCAGCAGTGAACTTCGGCCAGGTAAGGGAAGGCAATAACTTTCTATGGAGGTGGCCTTTCTGGACTGAAACTGCCAAGGCCACTGTGTTAGGCTGGGTTGACTAGAGAAATAAATCCAGTGATACTCATATATATAAATGAAAGAGGTTTATATCAAGAAGTAGTTATATATCAAGAAAACATCCCAGCCCAGTCCAACTCAAACCCTTAAGTTCAGTACTAGTCCATACTTGACTCACACAGCCACATTCAATGATGCAGAATACAGGAAGGTCACAGGCTGGTGGGTGCAAAGTCAGGTGGATCCAAGGTTGATGGAAGCATGGCAAGGCTCCAGTAGCTCACCAGGGTGGCCAACAAGCAGGAGGGGGAAGGTAGCAAGAGAGAAGAGGAGAAGGGCAAACCTCCAAGAAGGCACCTTCAGGCTGTGACCTGATTGACAAGTTGGATGCCACTCCTACTTTCATAGATCTTCAAGTTGACATAAAATTATGTAACTATCATAGTCACCTAAACTCATTCCTGAGGTAGGGAAGAGGGTTCTGGTCTTCCTGGCCAGTCAGGGGCTAAGAAAGTTGTGGATGGACCCGTGAGCAGATGCAAGGGACAAGATTTTGGTCCAGGCATAGACTCAGAAGCTAAGGCCAGGCCTCTCTAAGTGCTAGACAGTGAGAGAGTAAGATAGGAGAGGAGGTGACCCCTTCAGACAGGAGGAAATCAAAGGCAGCAATTGCTAAGCTGGTGGCCACTTCGGTGGTCACAGAGGGTATAAATCTGGGTTTTGCTGCTGGTGCCCAATGGTGTGTGTGGTTGTCCTGACAGTATGACTGGTGCTCTTGGATCCCTAATGCACCCCCGACCATGCGGGCCCCACCACCAACAGCTAAGGGTGTGGTCACCATTGAGCAGATCGTGGAGACTCTGCCAGACCGTGGCCGTTCCTGCTGGCATCTGGGTGCAGTGTGGGCGCTGAGCCAGTTCCAGGAGAATGAGGTGAGTCCCAGGTGGAGCCACTCTGTCCATGTCCTTCCTTAGTTGGGAGGTGGGCGAGAGGGTGACCTGGAAATTGTGTAGCCCATATGTTGCCATCAAATTTAAGCTGATTCCTCAACCTGAAGTTTACATGACTCAGAGCAAGGAATCCTGACCTTCAAGGCACTAGGAGGGGCCCAGAAGGGTGGGCAGGCAGAATACAGAGGGCTCTGCACTAGCAGTTACTGCAAGGATAACAGGGGCGCACACCCTCAGTTATCCACTAAACTTTTTCATGGGCTTTTCTCCCCAGTATCTAGGCATAACCATTAGACTTCTGGGTGTTCCCATATGCCAAAGAGAACCCACTCCAGATTTCCTTATGGAAATCTGATTCAAGGGGAAGTTGCTTTTCAGCGCATTCTTGGTAGGTAAAGAGATCGAGAGATACTGTCTCCTTCACTCCCTAAATCATGGTCCATGGAAATGCTTCCAAGGCCTGTCTGTCTATATGGCCCTGTCACAGATTAATTTGTCTGTCTTCCTGCCTACTGGGCCTCAGCTGTTCCTGGGCATGTATCCAGAGGAGCATTTCATTGAGAAGCCCGTGAAGGAGGCGATGGCCCGATTCCGTAAGGACCTGGATACCGTCGTCAGTGTGATCGCAGAGCGCAACAAGAATAAGAAGCTGCCTTATTACTACCTGTCTCCAGACCGAATTCCCAACAGTGTGGCCATCTGAGTGGCCCAGTAGTGCCAACCCTTGCTAAAAAGTCTTTGTTTCTTGAGGCTGAGCTTGGTACCCAGACCTAAAGACAGGCTTCCTGTGCAGCTTAGCCCTCATGGCCCAGCAAGATTCTTAAGTATTGCGCTATAGGGTGGAATTATTTTAAACCAAAGGCTGTCTCATGGTTGGTCAAATTGGCCTATGTGTCTTCTCCACTCTATCTTTTGTGAATCTCAAACTTGTTTATAAGTGTCTTGATCCCCCAGAGAACCTTCCTATACAGAGCAGGCCTGTGGGGTGTCTTGCCCTGTGTGTTGCTCAGAATCCTCACCAGGTAGTAATAACACATCCCAATCACTGATCGGGATAGCTTGTTTTTTTGTTAGGGACAGGAATTTTGTTGTTGTTATTCTATTTATGCTTAGTCTATTGTCTTGCAATATAGCTGGTGTCCTAATAAATCCCTGTCGGATGAATTAACAATTTTGGCTGTCATTACTATGCATCGCCAACAAATAATGATGAAACTAAAACACTTCATGATATGGATGGATTTGGAAGACATTATATCCTGAGTGAAGTTAGCCACAAAAGGACAAATATTGTCTGAGAGCATTGTTATAAAAGTTAAGATAAAGATTTTCATACCAAAAGAAACAGACTTTGGTCATTATCGGGGAGTGGGGTGGAGCAGGTTGGTGAAGCAATAAGCTACCCTCTCTGGGTTTCCAAGACTGTAATTGTTTGGGGGAGCAAAAAGCCCAGTCTTTCTCTTGTAGAGGTGCTGGTGGTTTTGAACTGCCAACCACATGGATCATAGCCCAATGCTTAACCACTACACCACCAGGGCTCCCTAAGTTAAATTAAAACACTTCTCCTACATGCTGTTCCTGTCTCAACTCATAGACATATTCCTCTACAAAAACAAAACAAAAAAACCCACTATGACTCCACCAGGCAAAACTTCCCCACCCTTGCTTACTGAGTGTCCATAAACGACCATCTCAACCTTAACTTTCCGTAGAGCGCCAACCCTGCCAGGCTCCTTTTTGCTCCCTACTGCCTATCACAGCAGAAACCAGACATTGGGAATTCCACGGATGTGCTTCGTTTCCTTGGCTACACAAGCTGGGCATTTCTTGTTGACTGGGGCATCTGGGCATGACCAAGGGCTTGGGAAGTCCCCAGTCAGGATGACACCAGCACCACCACCCAACTCAGTTCCAAACAAGGGACAGTCCTCATTTCCCCAAGCCAACCGTCAAGGGATCCACAGATCAGCCTCCTTCCACAGATGATGAAACTGAAGCACAGCAACATAAATGGAGCCCCGCAAAGCTTGTCCAGAACTAAGCCTGATACACAGTAGTACTGCTCAGGCTGAGGCCTGCTTCTTGAACTCCATGCCCTCCTTCTTCCGTCAAAAATGATGCCAGAAGCCTACAGACCCCGATACATACTTAAGGTCTGGGTCCCACCACAGCTGAATGCAGAAGTGGGTGGGAAATTGGTGGCATTTCTTCCCAGGCAGCCTAGAAACTGGTTAAGACTTCAAATGAAGGGTGGAGGTGAGAGCACTCGGAGTCAGAGGTTCTGAAGTTTCTGCCCAGCCTTTCAGACTCAGAGGGGGAATCTGAGTAACTCTTCTCCCCGTGACTCACGTTTCCTCAGCTATAAGGGGTCAAACTAGCAGATCTTGAGTGGTTGAAAGTTATGGATGTCAACTCTGTGACCATAGCAGACAAAGAAGTCAGAGACAAAATGTAAATAAACAGACATGGATGTGTGCCACTAAAAATATTCACAAGAGGTGGCTGTTTGAGAGCAATAATTTGTCTACCACTGGAGGTGGGTCATGACAGGCCAGCTGATGCCTCCATCATTTGTGGGAAGTTTTGCTTCATGCCTGTCTGTAGCAAGACCCCATCTGCTGCCTCTTCAACCAAACTCAGAACTCACTTAGGCTCCTCTTCTCATTCTTTCTGAAAGAGTCCTTTCTTAAGCCCTTCCCTTCTCCCCAACTAATTCGCTGAGTTCTGAGGCACATCAGACACTAGAAGTCTTGAGATATCTACTCCAGTACTGGTGGGGGGGGGGGGCTGAGGATTCTGTACTATGGCCCTGGCTTCCAAGTGTCAAGCAAGAACACTTGGCAATGTATACTCCAGCTTAGCTCCTCTGTACCGACAGCCTACTAGTGTGATTTCCAAGCAATTCCCCCAGCTCATCCCCTGTAGTTTAAGCATACTTGCCTCGCTCTTCACTATATGTGGTCATAGCTCTAAAACATATTCAGAGCCCTCCTAGCACACAGCCCTGTGCTAAGCGTACAGGTGTGAGGACCAGGAAACTGCCACTATTTAGGGCTGCCTTTCAAAAACCAGGAGACACACAGCAACCTGTTGGCTCCCTGGTCTTTACTCGTCTAGGCTACAGTTCAGTAAACTACACCTATGAGTAAATCCAACCAAGCTGTCAACTGCTCAACAGTCATGTTGTCTAGGACATCCGAACCTGTAGTTTGGCTCTTCTTGGGTGGGGAGCAGAAGACACACCTGTGGGGTGGACACAAACACTCCCATGGCCAGCATACCCTCTTGACCCCCTACCATCGACCCTGGAGCTAGCCATTCTCCTGACAGGGACAGGTGGGTTCATTAAATATCTCCAGAAATTGTATGATTTTCTTTCCCTATGTGAGACCACAGAACCTGTAGAGGCAGTTAGTTGGAGCCATTGGAGTGCTCACCATCATACTCAATGTCCTTTCAGGAAAACACTCCCGTGCAAACCACCTTTTAAAAGAAATGCTTTATTGCTGCAATTAGACACCCCTAGTATAGCACAAACCACTTGCCTATACAAAGAATTTTTCAAGTGGTAATACTGAGACACAGTGATCAGACACAAAAGGATAAAAAAATTCGACATTCAGATTACAAATGTGAAGTGACTTTTAGAAATTACACCACACAAGCCAGTGTTAATTTGGTATTTTATTAACAATCAACTTTCTATAAACATTGCATCTAAGTAAGTGATCAGCTGCACAACTTGAAAGACTTCCGAAATGAAGATCTGTATTTGTATGTCCTTATGTTTCCCTCTGTCCTTGGGTGAGAGGCAGGAGCTGCATATTTCAAACTTAATTCAATATATATTTGCATCAATGACATTGATTTCCTTCCCTCCTTGAACCAGGGCTTGGGACACACCTCAGACAACTTCCTAGTGGTCCTGTCCCCAGCTCCTATGGCCTACCATCAAGGTAGCAGAGGCAGCTCTCAAACTTACAGGGATTATGTGAGGTTCTTAAACTGGCTCAGCTGCTTAGGGCCTGTCCAACTGTGGTGAGGTAGGTGCACAGGAAGGTTTGTAAATTAGGCTTGTATAATTGATAATAGTGAACTGCAACAAAAAGGGAAGAGAGTAAAGGCCTGCAGTAGGAAATTGGCTTTTACAGGGTTTCCAGGAATTTCTTACAATGAACTTTAAAACATAAACCAAATGACTGCTAACACAATGAAACCAGACACTCTCTAGTTCCTCTGTAATTTATCAGTGGACAAAGGTCAATCACAAAGAGGCAGCTCACTCTCCTACTGATGGGCCTGCAAGTATCCATGTACACTGAGGCCAGCTTCTCGATTGTTCAAGCAACTGCCACTTGGAATTTTCACAAGACACAGATTCAGGTGCAAAAAGAGGAAGAGTTGAGGCAGAGAGATCAAAGGAATCCCAGGAGGTCTGCTGCTACCATTTGACGGTAGCACTGCACAATGTACCAGGGCCTGTGTGTGATGACAGAAAAGCTCAACAACAGCCTGCAAAAATAGGAGAAAGGCAGGGATAGGCTGTGTGTCATAGGCAGGGACTTTGACGAACCTGGCCAGCAATGGTGAAAGGGTGGACAGTCTTTCTGGAAAGAGATGAGAAAGTTTCACATAAGACTGTTTGGCGTGGGTGGCAGATACCAACAGTACAGGTACCTGTGCCATACGGTAGGTAGGTGCCAGCTACACTTAGCAAGCAGCCCAGGAAATATCCCTGCTTAAGTATACCTGCCTCTGTATTGAGGGCTTCCGTGCTATCCAAGTTTACCACAAAGGGGCTCTTGGGGGAAGCAGGGGAGGAGGTGAGATTCACAATTAAAAACTGAACCCGGGCTTCGCCTGACCACGAGTGCATCAAGGACAATGTACAGAAGCAGGCTGTGCCTAGTCAGTTCCGAAGAGGCCTTGCAGAGCAGACTTGGGATTCCTCTCATCTGAGTGGGCAGTTTACAACTGTATGCCATTAGCAGGCTGAGAAGGGACACTGGTAATTGCACTTGAGACACAGCAAACACAGGCAAAGGACTGGATATGATGAGGGAAACAGAGAGAGCAGACTGACCGATTTTAAGGGGTCCGACTGGGGTTCCAAAGATTGTGTGGAGCAGGGCTTGACTGATGCAGACACCCAGGCTGGACAGTGGTTCAACCCTCCCAGCACAAACCCTCTCTGGGAGCTGAGAAGCCCCTGGCCTCTTCCTGCCTTCAAAATGACTTCTAAGGTTTCATATTTGAAAAGCAAGTAAGTTATCTTGACCTGTTAAGAGGATAAGTAGGTGCCCAAAGGTTAGCTGGGGTGTGGCTGGGACCCCGGGAACTCCACGGGGTACCTGAAGAGTAGCCTTTGGGTTTGTTTATGTTCTAATGATGCAAGGCCTGCTGCCCTCCTGCCTGCAGATGCCTTTTAGTTGACTGCATGATAAAACTGGGTTTTCAAAACAGAATTCTAAGCATACTTTTAAAGGAACAAGGGCCATTTGATGATAACAATTTGTGTTTGTCATCCTTGATGACAGAATGGATCAATAGCTGGCTAGAGCCCCTACAGCAGCGATTCTCAACCTGTGGGTCATGACCCCTTTGGGGGTCAAACGACCCTTTCACAGGGGTCGCCCAATTCATAACAGTAGCAAAATTTCAGTTATGAAGTAGCAACAAAAATAATTTTATGGTTGGGGTCACCACAACATGAGGAACTGTATTAAAGGGACACGGCATTAGGAAGGTTGAGAACCACTGCCCTACAGAATCCTTTCTGCTCAGTTTGGCTAAGGCAATAAAGGGATAGTGGGGCAGCTGTGGGGTTGCCAGGGACCAGCACAGCTGGCTGGCTGACTACTTGCTAGTCCTCTCCCTGAATCGGCGCTTCGACTTCTCTGCACTGGCCAGTGACTTCACAGCAGATGCCAGACATGGCTGCAGAAGCCGGTCAAGGCAGGCAGGTGCACAGGAGCACCTTCAGTATACACGCCTCTAGATCAGGATGTGCATGCTTACATGTTACTGTACATCTAGCACACACGGGTGAGACCTCTGTCTGAAGAGAGATTGCTAAAATATTCAACTTTGTCATAATTATTTACTTCCTTTCCTTCCATTTAGATCTCAACACCTTTTCTCAGTGCTGACAAATGAAAAAGAAACAAAGAGGGCAAGCTTGTACAATAAGGATTCTGTAAAACAGGTTCAAAACCATACAATGATGCTCAAATTGCTGTGTGGCATCCATTTCCCCCCATGAAGCCTGATCTGTTTATAATCATGCCATTTCTATGGGAACAGAGGGGATGTCACGTCTGTTAGAATTTATAAGGCAAAACAGGTATTTCAAATTATAATGCAAAAGAGATTGTAAGGGAATGTTTCTAAATGAAACATTCTTGTGAGTTTCATTTCAACCAGACACATATTACAAAATAAAGATTTTCTTTTGTAAAGTGCTATCTTCTCAGTGACTCAATCACCCCACCCCAACCCCACTCCACACATGTAGAATGCCTGGTTCCCTGTCTGCTTGCGAGAACTAGCTGGAGAAACATCAGCAAAGGCAAGGCGGACACGTTTTGTGTTTGGGGAGCTGTCTCCGTGCCACCTTCTGGGCTCATTAGTGTGTGTGTGCAAATCCTCTCCATGGAGAGATATTCCTAAAAAGCCTAGGTTAAGGACGGCCGCTCACCTGAAGAGGCTGCTCCCCAGGGCCTGGCTAACACCCTTCTGCTCTTCCTCAATCGTGGCCTTGCATTCTCTCATCTGCCCAAGAGTAAGACCAGGAACTCATCCACTCCTACCTCCTATCTTCCATTTTCCTTGCCCACAGAGCACATGGCGGAGCTGAAGCTGGCTGTGTGTGGCCAATGGGAGGACTTGCCCACAGGGTCATTAAGGAGGATTTAGAAAAAGGGACGCCATTAAAAATAGTCACCTGCCCAGTCTATGCTATTGACCGACATAAGAAAAGGTACAAAATTGGCAGTAAACAATTTCTTTCAGCTCTTCACGATGTCCAGGAAAGACAACCTTTCCGTGTGGTTAGACTTGAAGGATGGCTGCTCCAGTGTCCTCGGGTTCTGTGTAACAAGAAGAGTTTGTGTCCGAACGGCAGATTCCAGGTCCTTCTTTGTTTTCTAAGTTGGGCTCTGTTAGTGCAGATTTTTCAAAAATAATCTTTTTGCTTGTTTCTGGACAGTTCTGGACATAGATTACTCTATTATAAGCCTTGAGTCTCTTCCATAATTGTACATATACTTTGCACTGCACATACATAAAAAGAAGTCCTCCGGTAAAGCCAATAGCCACAACCACTAACTTAGTCCAAAAGGGCCACTCGAGGATTCCTGGAAAAGAACAAACTTGGTCAGCCAATCAGCAGATTTGGTGTAAGCGTAAATAACCTGCACTTCCATAGCCAGGAGATAAACTTGTGAAAGCCTGCTGCATCACAGCAGGGGAAGGCACTGTCCGCTCCCTTCCACACTTCCAGGAAGTAATTGTTAGAGACTCTTACACTTTAAGAGTTGGTATCTTCTAACTGGGTTTCTTAAACCACCACAAGAGAAATGGCTCAAAAGGACACCTGAGGCAATGATTGACACGTAGCCATACATCCCTCTACAAGGGGGAGGAACAACGGAAAATATGGGGGAAGGGAGACAGCGGTCGGTGTCAGAGATGAAAACAATAACAATGTACATTCTATCAGGGGGTTATGAGGGTGGAGGAGGGGGAGGGGACAAAAAGAGCTGGTACCCAGGGCTCAACAGAAAGTAAATGTCTAGAAGAGAATGAGGGCAACATATGTACAAACATGCCTGATTCAATTGATGTATGGATTGTGATGAGTTGTATGATCCCCCAATAAAATGATTTAAAAAAAAAAAAAGGATACTTGATGCTCCCTAATGACATTCCCTTCAGGAAACCTTGACAAGCTCATCCCAGCATGTGACCATATAATCCGGGATGAGTTCCCATGTAAGTACACGTACCTGTTGCTTGCCCCTGCTTGATCTCATCAGCAGTCCGATCAATAAGCACATACAAAGACCAGACCACACAGGTGATGGCGACGACATGAAAGGTGACCGAGCACATGATCTTCCTACGCTCACTGGCTGTCATCTGAAGCTTCTCCCACTGGGAAGATAACAGAGCAAAGTATGAGGCGCAGGTTTTCTACAGGTAGAAGGCTATGTGGTGAGAGAACTGCAGGTGGACAAGACTACCTTCTTCCAGACTAAATGAATTTCCCCAAACACCTAACATCTTGGATTCAACCACATACAAAGCTCTGATTCAACCAGGTTTAAGATACTGGTATTCTTTTGGCAGCCAACTTTCTATGCAATGAAAAAAAGCTGGGATTGAGATGCGTCATGAAATATCACCAGCAATTCCCTTGTCTGCTTATCCTTGCAAGCAGAAATTAAAAGGTCTGAGGAAAAAACTTAAAAGAGTGTCAGTCCTGAAAATGGGAAAGGTTGGTCCCAGACCCAGTTGCCATGCTTTAAGTCACTCTAACTGGCATGGGTTAAGGGAAGAGGTGTGTGATGAAGCCACAAAACACTAGCAGATGGGTTACACTACATTGTGAAAGTGAATGGCAGGAGCTCACTCTTTGGTCCTCTGCTACTTTGGCAGCAACAGCTTGGAATCGATGCTAAGGGTTCTTGATATACGGTAAGTAGCCTCTGCCAGTCTCATCTCCTTTAGGAGCTCATTAATTTATTCCAAATAGCCAGATTATCTTTCATTTACTGGCTTCCGAATCAGAAGAAACACATAAATGTAGAGAGAAAGAACAAGTGTAAACACTCTGCATTTCCTTTGCTAATCCTAGTCACTGTCTCTTCCCAGATGGTTCCCTGCAAGGTAAACTGAAAACAGAGCTTCATGGATGATCTTTCCTAGTCAAAAGGCCACAAAACTCACTTGAGAGAATAGCACAGAGTAACTCCAAACTCACTGCCATCAAATCAATCCCAACTCATAGCAACACCAGAGGACAGAGTAGAACTGCTCCTGAAGATGTCCGAGACGGTAAATCTTTTTAAAAGCAGAAAGCCTCATCTTTCTCCCTTGAAGCAGCTAGTGGTTTTGAATGCTGGTCTTGAAATTAGCAACCCAATGTGTAACCCACTACACAACCAGGATACAGTAGGTGACAAATAAATTAGAAGGCTTTTACCTTAAACAGGTAAAACATTTTTAAGTAGTTTGTGTCTTCTCTAGCAGCCAGAGTGCTTTCCCCTATGATTTTTACAACATCTTCACTTACCTTCCTACTTAAAATGCAGAGTTCACGCACCAGTCGCCCCTACTCCCTGACCTGCTGTTTTCCTAAGACCCATTCAGTTAAATCTTTTCACATCCCCCCAAGATACTCACCCCTCATTTTGGGGGCTTACGCTTTTCTCCTTACACAACTTGGTCTATCTGAACTCCTTTCATTTTGGCTCTAAATCCTATTGATTTTTCAAGAACTGCTTCAAAACCCAAACATTCTTTGATGCTACATCACTCCACTTCCCTGGCACGCTAGCTCTCCAAGGACTGGTTCCTTCTCTGAACGTCTAAGGTTCCTCATCACCACACCACGTTGCCTTTTATACATTAAGCGTTTAAGACAGGAACAAAGTCTTATTCTTCCAAATAGAGCCTTACATGCTGGGTACACAGAGGGAGTCACTGAGGAGATAATATTAAGAAGCAGATGAGTACCACTGATAAAGCTGTTCTCATATAGGAGCCATGTATATGGGGCCCGAAGAGAACTGCATTTCACATTAGCTGTAGTTTCGTCTTGTATCCCATCCCACCCTCTAGCTCAACAAATACTCTTCTTAAGTATGTACAAATAAGTCTTCACTGTGCTAAGTACTGGGGACCTCTAATACATGATCTCAAACAGATAGGAATTATACAAGGAATAGTTAATATGTTAACTGTTGACTAAGATGTCACAAAATAGTCTGGGATTAGGCCCCAAGTTACTGGCAGACAAACCTGTAATCTAAGTGTTAAGGGAAAAGAAAACACCAAGATTGGTTGGAAAGAGCTTCTTCGTAAGAGAGACTAGGAACTCCGCACAGCACAGAGCAATGTCCTCAACAATGTTCAATGTGCACATCAGCTCCCACTTAAAAAAAATAAACATTAGAGCTTCACTGAGTCCCAGATGCTAACTCTTTCAAGGACACGCATGTTAGGGAGGGTGAAAGCCCTGCCAAGGAATGTCTTTCCACATACTTTCCGCAGAGGCTTCAACTTTGTCTCCATGATGAACTCATACTTGCAGAGTTCACAGCACCGTGTGTCAGAGCTCTTGATCCACTGCTGCAGGCAGGCTTGGTGCACAAAATGCAGGCTCCCGGTGCAGCGGCATGGAGTGATCAGGGGGCTTTCATCGTCACCCTCACAATGGCAAATCCTATGTTGGAGGAAACAGGCATCAAGAGGGGATCACCACCAATGGGGAAAATGACATTTCCATAGAAAGTTAATTTCAGAAACATACACCACATAAGTAACTACAAGCACAAAAATAAACGAACACAAAAGAGGAAAAAGGCTACAAACTACACACTTCTAGCTTACCGCATACCAACATGGAAAGTCTGATGACATTTTGCAATGGAGAGGAAAAATGGTGTAAGAAATGACAAAGGAGTCATTCTTGGTAAGACTGAAGAACTTTGCTGAAAGATGAATTTAAGACAACATGGAAACATTTCCCTGAACATAAAATGCTAAAATAATGAGTAGAAAGTTCAATGTAAAGCAAACCTAACTCCCTACCTTCCAATAATATTATAATTACTTAAAAATGGAAAAATCTGCTTTTAGCTATAATCACTGACCTCATCCTCATACATCTGTTATTTCCCAGGAGATAGAAAGAGCAGAGCATCTCTAAACAACTAAATGGATCCCATTACCAGCTGCTGTAATCTTTTTTTTAAACATAGCAATGTTTTTAATTTAAACATGAATGAATTTAAAACCGTTATTTCCAAGGGTGCATTGCAGCAGGATGTAGCAACAAACCGTGTTTAATAAGAATTTAATAAGCTTTTGAGAAACAGAAGAGTGTTTTCTGGCATCTGAAAAGCACCAGTCCTGAAAGGAACTGGCCTTGCTCGGCTTTCAGGTGGGTTTTTTAAAAATGGGTTTCTGATTCAATCCTGGGCAATGATAGCCGCTGAGGAATCAGGCTGACTGAGGAGGTTGGGTCAGAATGGAAAAGGCACAAGAACAGTGACAAAACTAATTCCAGAAGATTTGGGACACTGTACAAAACCCAATGATCTCTCCAAGGGAAAATAAAGATGGGTGGTGAGGCCAAGACCTTAGTAGCAGCAGATGCAGTCACAGTAAAAGGCAGGCAGGAGCTTCTGGAGACTGCCTGCTCCTACACCTACCCTACCATCGGAGGGCCACACGTCCGATGAGACTGGGATGGGCGGCAAAATAAAAATGCTTACAGTCTGCACCATCAAGCTGGGAAGCTGAAGATACTACTTTCTTTCTTCTAATTTCTTTATGCAAAACCCATTTATTTTTAGTGAGGAGAGCCAGCTTGGCCTTCCAATATGTGTAGCTTCTTCCTCTTTCATGGGTTATGTCATAAAAATTGGATTTTCTAAACATATGACAACTCCATTATCCTGGAGAAAACAATTAACCCACAGTTATCTACCACTTCACTTTCCTGAAACTTCTACCACTTCACTTTCCTGAAACTTTCCATATTAAAATGAGTCTAGGGAGGTATGGAAAGCAGAGATGGCCAGAATGGTGGTTCTTGGCACACCAACCTGCAGGCGTCCCCTGATGTGGATACAGAAGTTATGGGGAGGTGCTTTTCTGAGAGGGGAGAAGAGCATTCCAGGTCGCTGTCCTTTTCGACTGAGCAGAGGGGTGCCTGCAGGGCCCTGCTCTTCAGATCTGCAGACACACTGTCCTCAAAGACATCGTCGTCGCCCATATCATCAGAGCAGAAGCCCGTGCTTTCAGCCAGCTTGCTGGAGGACTTAGCTGTGCTCTGACGGGCAGCGCAGCCCTCCAGCTCACGGAGCCTGTGCAGATTGCTGGCACTCATGCCAAGTGGGAAGAGGTACCGCAACAGTAGCCTGTTCCTGGACAAGGCCTCATCATCTGCTTTCTCTTCCAAAAGTGAGACATGGATGATCCGCTTGCCCGCTTCTACCTCTGAAGCAGGTGAATGTTTGTCATAAAGGGATGAAACACAAGAATATTTAGAATTGCCATGAGGTTTTCGGTTTGGTATTCTTTTTTCTTTATGACTGAACATGTTAATTCTGAGACAGGGCTCCTGAAAGAGGGCCAACTTTCCTTCAGAACAAGTTCTTTCCACATAGTCAAAACTTCCCTTAGTGTCCTGGGCCTTCTCGTCCATATCATTTAGGGATTTTGAGAATGTTAGTGCTCTTCTGGCTTTAGTATTCTTAGCAGGCTTCAAGGCCTGGACCCATTCTGAACCACGGGAGTTTCTCGTTGACACCTGTGACGTGTCTTTACAGATAATTGTCATTGTGAGCCCTGGTGTTAGGGAACTCTGGCATGAAGGAGCTTTCAAGACAACAGCAGACTCCACGTGACTGTGATGACAATACTCAGAAAGCACTGCACTGGAACTGCATGCAGAACAGTGGGATAAAGCACAGCAAGTGAGAACAATTGTAATGAAACAGACATCAAAGTGAAGTAATGAAGCTAATGTCCACATATTGATCAAGCAATAGAAGCCTCCTGATGGAGTGCTTATTTCCAGAAGTGCAGTTAGCTACAACAGCCTCTGAAGCGGAGGTTACCTGCACATATCCTGATTGGACGGTGTAGCAGATGTACGGGAGAAGGCAGTCACCGGAGCCGAAGCTGCCAGCGGGGGGCTCCCAGCCTGCAATGACACAGCTCCAGTCAGCCTTTGGAAGGCGCCAAACTTCTTAAAACTTCATCAGTATCATAGATCTGTTCAGTATTATTAGGTCCTTACAATCTAAGCAAATCAAATCAATCACCGCTATTTTCTTCTTATGCATGGGGAAGTACAGGTGAAAGAACCTGGGCCAAGGAATCTGCAATAGCAGAACGCCCAGTAACTTGGTTCACTGCTATAGCAAGTAAAACTTAATTTGTAGGTAAGTCAAAAAGCAAGTCCTGTACAGTACTATCCTTCCTCAGCATAGTCGAATAGTCCCCAAGACAACCCTGATCAGGCTGACAGGAACCAAGAGCTTCTCACACTTCACAGCCTTCCAGAGACCATGCCATGCTCTGCTCCAGGAGGCCTCGGAATCCCTGACAGAGCCCTCTGCACAGAAGGCAAACCAACTGACCATATGACCACTGCAGATCAAGTGGAAGCCTACCAGGGGGCTGGGCACAGACACTCCCTCCCCGGTATTGGGATACTGAATATAAAAGAACAATCAATAAAATTTAGAGAATCAAGCCATTAGCAAGAGCACTTAAATTTGACATCGAAGATAAGGTAGGGCCTCTGAGGGGTCAGGAACAAGTCAAGTTGGAGAAAAGTTCAAAGAGTGTAGGAAGCCATGCCAATATACAAGCATAGACCCAACAACATTCCTTGTTTTGTGCTTCTTTTATTTCTTTCTTTAACCTTGCCCATTTGGTAGTCCTTACTGAAGACTCTTTCATAGACCTCATTCCTTTAAAAGCCCCTCTTCTGATGTTAGGTTGGGTACAAACATCAATACAAATAGCCAGGACCGTGGGTGATGTTAAGAGACTCGGGCTGCTTCCTACCTTGGGTAGACATACTCAGAAAGGGCCACTCACCAACCCTGCCACAGCTCCCTCTGTCACCGCTCAAGGAGAGCATACCTTCCTTGGCACAGATCCATATGCTAGAGTAACCATCAAGCACAGATTCAGTGATTGTAGAGAGCTCGATTTGTTCCTGGAATCAATCTCCCAATGAGGATTTAAGACACAGGCGTGGATCAAGAGAGCAATAAAAAAATTAAGGTAATAGCTTCAAACTCCAGTCTCAGATCCAACCCCTGTCAGCCCAGGTAGGTCAATGGGCTGATGTGCTCTCTTTAAGGAATTGGCAACACTTAACCTCATTGGACAGTTATGCCTTTATGTAGTGTGAGACCAAGAAAATATAAGGGGAAAGAAAATTTCACATACTACATACACAAGGGTAATTAAAGACACGCTGCTAAAAACCATAGAAACCTTTTGTGTTACTCTGAGTTGACCAGAGAAACAAATTCATAGACACTTATATGTGTATAAGAAAGAGCTTTATATACAAGAGCAATTGAATACTGAGAAAACATCCCAGCCCAATCCAGGTCAAGTCCATAAACCCAATATTAGCCCATATGTCCGTTACCAGTCTATAAATTCTTCTTCAGACTCATGCAGCGCCTATGCAATGATGCCAAATGCAGGAAGATCACAGGCCAGTGGGTAGAAAGTCTTGTGGATCCAGTGGTGGTAGAACTTTCTCAGTACTGGCATGGGTCTCCACGTGGCTCCTCCAGCTCCAGAGCTCTGGCTGCATCAGCATAGCTCCATCAGGCTCGTTGTCAATAATGTCTTGCAGGAAGTAGGCATGTGTCCCACCTCCAGGGAGCTATTTATCTCCTTAGTGCCTCCAAATGAAGTCATCAAGCTGTGACCTGATTGACAGGCTAAACTCCACCCCTTCACTCATAAGTCTCAAACAGATTATGTAACTACCACACCTTTATTAAACCAAAAAATGAAAATGCGAAACTATTGTTTCTTGACATGTCCTTCTTCCAGGTCCCCACACTTTTGAAGGTGGTGTTTCCATCTGTCTAGCCCTGCTGAAGAATTGTGCTCTTCCATTTACACCATGTCAAGACAGCAGTTACAACAGCATCCTTGAACAACTCCAATTTTGCATCTTTTCCATTTTATTTTCCGGTGGTGGTGGGGGCGGCAGACAAAAAGAAGTCTTAAGATGTAAGATTAGGGCTTTAGGGTAAATGGGGGTAGGGCCCCCAACACAAGTCTCCTAAGACAGCTCCTGCTACTCTCAAAGAATGACCCAGTCACGAGGCAAACACATTCTTTGGTGCAACTTTCCTGGGCAATTTCCTCACCAATCTGATTTCAATTTTCTTGAAACTTTTCCCTAATAAATCCCTGTGGTTGTCCTGTGTCCTTTGAGAAAACCTATCAAGATTACCCCATTGGAATCTCATCAAACAGTTGCCATAACTTTCTGAGCTCACCTGTCTGTTTGAATTTAACAGGCCCAGCAGATCCCCTTGGAAGCCACTGTATCGACTGTAATTTTTTTTCACACTCAAGGAACTGGTACAAATTTTAACTATATAACACTGTGCAATGTTTCATACTACAGTGTATGAAATCTGAGTTGGCAGAATTTTTGAGCTACATAAAGGTGGAATACTACAATCTGATCCTAAACTACACCTGGATATGACACTGTAAGGACAAATGTTTTTACATTTTAGCATAGCACAAGCATGAAGGCTTACTAACTTTAGAAAACAGTAATTTAAGATAGAAAGGATCTCATCTGACAGGAACTAAAAAATCATCTATTTGCACAATAAGTGCTAATGAAAATTAATGCAACAGGCTAGTGGCCCAACTGTCAAAAATTCTGATCAATGTAGATCATCAATCATTTTTCATGTCACGTCTCAACTGTTCCATGTTGAGGGTGTACACAGAAGCAGATGATTCAATATACACACTATTATATATCTTAGACATACTTCCTCCTGAAATAAAGCCTGAACGGGCAACAATCAGATTTAACTAAATGTTAGAAATAATTGCACTGAGCAATTATCTAATCAATGGTGGACTTCAAGCTAATACTGAGTCTATGTTACAAAATATGAATTGGAAGTCAATCTAAAAGGACTCATAGAAAAAAAGATTTTTCTAATTTCAAAAAGACCTGTAGTAAATCTCCATAGTATCCATTTACATACAAACAAAAACAACTTCTAGGGGAGTCTATTTTAGTACTAGCCTAAGAGATCTAAAGGATGGGTCATTTTAGTTGAAGACTGGTTTGAAAACCAGTTTAAAGTATTGCCTTAGATTATACCTAGAAGTTGGTGGGAAATACAACTTGACAAATAAAATGGTAGGTACTGCTCTTCAAAACTATCAGACCCAGCACACAGCTCAATTCCTAAGGAGTTACATTCTAAGCTTCTTTCCGAGAGAGGAATCTTTAACAAACTAAAGTCTTCTTTGAGCTCTTTCTACAGGACACTAAACTACAACTCTGTGTAGAGTTGGGCTATAGCTTAGTTCCTTTGTGGCTTCAGGTTGCTAAAAGCAAGGCATGCACAGGATTGACTATAAAATGGTTATCAAGATGTTTTAATTCATTGAAGAAAGCCAGGTTTACAAATAGCATGTCTTGTTTATACGAGCTTAACCCCTTTCAGTCACCTAGTGAATTTGGAATTGACTCCCAACTAGTGGTAAATAGAATGCCTCGTATGTATTTTTGGTGCAGAAACAAACAAAGCTAGGCTAAACCAGACTTCAACATCAGCAATAGGAGGTATATTTGCAGGGAAAGTGCCAGCTTTATATACAAACTAGTAAGTCTAATATGACAGGAACTAAAAAACCACCTATTTGCACAGGATTGACTATAAAATTGTTATCAAGATATTTTAATTCTTTGAAGAAAGCCAGGGTTCTTCATTACTGAGTCAATGAAGTAAACTTTAAAATCTGCGTTGAGGCGGTGGTCTTTGACATCCCTGACTTGCTGAATCATGCTGGATCAAATGAAATTAGCTCGAGCAGCTCCTCCTCTACAGCCAAGCTTGCTGGTGGTGGTGCTGGGGCCAGGAAAGTCCTCTGTAATTAGCCTGCTGGCAAAAACCAAACACGAACTCCATCTCTCACACTAACCCAGTAGTCTGTGATAGTGGTTTTAAGGTAGCTACAGTTTCTAAGATGCCATTAAGAAATGTAGTTCTTATCTGGGGGACGGGTCAATTCATATGGGGTGGCTGGTTGATAAACTTGGAGTAGCTGATCTTTTTGTATGGGAAGAGGGGAAAAATTAGCAAGATGACAGCACGCCTTCAAAGTTCATTTAGAAACTGACATCCAAGATAAAAGAATTTTGTTGGGCTTGCTATTTGCCTACTATCTTCTCAAAAAAGTTAGTCTTCCCTCCCAGGGGAATGTTCTCCATAAAGATTTTCTATTTTGATCACCTTGTTAAAACCCAATTCCAGCAGTAGTCTCTCTGCCTCGATTTCAATGTACTGTCATCAAAATTAATTCCAATCAGCTTCACAGACAAGGCCTTGGCGAGAATTCCTGTTCTATCCTAACAGCATTAATAATTATTTCTTGTATTCTCCGATCCGAAGGTTTATGCAGCAGGTGTTTGAACATGGGGCAAGCAAAGTCACAGTGCAAACTCTCATCTCTGCTAAGAAGTATATTGGAAAATGAGGCCAGACATTAGTCCTTGCCAGTAGATTGATGCAAATGAATTAGGAAAGTAGATTCCTTCCGCTGTGGCAAAGGCTACAACACACAGCACACTGTCCATAGGTAGCTTCTTTGTCTCCAATCCAATGCAAGGTCCAATCTGCCTTCTTCTTCACACAAGGCATTTTCTTAATGGCACTGAAGAGATATTCCCTTTCTTTGGAATTTTTAATCTAAGCATCAATAAGTAGACCATACATTTCTGACTGTATGTTTTCCATAGCAATTTGGAAGCCATCGAAATAGGGGCCCGCCGTAATCTGGACTTCATGACTAAATCACTCCACCAAGTTTTAACTCACTATTCCATCACCTGCTACAAAGGAAGTCAGAACATGTGATATACAAGCTCTCGTTCCTGACTTCAGGACTTCCCAGGGCTGA